AGGCGCCAGTGCCTGGGGGCCCTTTGGAGGCGTCTGGAAGCACCCAGTCCTCTCTTCCCTTTCTCTGGGAGTTGACAGCACCCGTAATGATACAAATGATACACCTGTGCGTCCCCGAAATAGCAGTGGCGTGTGCAGGGACGCCTCGTCACGCTGCGAAATTGCTGCCACCTCGGCTGCGTTTGCAAAAATACCTTCTGCCACACAAAGGTGAAAATGGCAGAGGCGAGAACCAGGCTTCTGAAAAGGAAAAATATTTAAACACCTTCCGCAGGGATCTGTAAACTCTCGGCACAGGCTCAACTAATGCTCCATGTGACTGGGCTAAAGTTAGCTCCCGCAGGGAGGGAGCTGGCTGTATAGTAGCGTCTCCACCGTCAGCGTGTGGCGGCTGGCACCGCTCCCTGGCTGGCGGGCAGTTAGGTGGAGAGAGGAGGGCAGCGTGCCCTCTACACTCAGAAGAGAATCAACATTGGCTGAGCATACACTGGGGGCCTGGGGCCTCTGTCGGATCCGTGAGGCCTCGTGCATGACTTCACCCCAGAGAGGACCGCTCTTTCTCATCAAAAAGGAAAGAGGCACAGAAAGGGCCCCTCACTTGCCCAAGTCACACAGGGCACAAGTGACCACATCAGGTTTGGAACTGGGCCTGACTGGGAAGGCATGCTCATCCTACAGCCCGAGGGTGCTTCAGAGATCATCTGCGGAAACCCAACGATTCCAGTGATGGAGAAGCTGGGGATGCTGGGCGTGCACTTCAGGGACAGGCTTGTGCCGTGGAGGGAGAGTCCTCAGACCCAGGGGCCAGGGCTTGCTTTGCCCCTTGACCTGTGCTGACACTTTACAGGTGTTCCAGCCCAGTAACCTCAGCCGCCCTGCAGGCGAGTCCCATCTCATCTCCAAGTGCAAGACAGGAGACCTCTCTGGGTGGCTTTCCTGGTCTCACAGCTAGCGAGTTCTCAACACATTGTGATCTTTGTTTTTAAGAGCACATATCTTATTTTTATCTTTATTTTTAAGAAGACAGAAGAGCTGGGTCCAACAAATGTCCCTTGACTGTGAATGTCCAATTATTCTGAGCACTGGGTGGGGATAGGTGACCAATGCCATTTCCTGGCCACCAGTCACTATGCTGTCTCCACATCCATTTTATTAATCAGGGCAACAAATGCCCAGCAGCCTCTGCTTTATGCCAAGCTCCAGGGTACCCAGAATTGAGAGCTGGGGACAGAGATGTGTTTCCTACAGCCCGAGAGGGCCAGCTCTTCAGCCCAGCCCTGGATCGCAGTGAGAGGCTGTGTGCAGAGACACACACTGTCCTCCCATGCCCCCTCCTCCCCACCCTGCTTGCTTTGGAACAGCAAGGTATCCCTAGAGTATCAACCCTGCCTCACCCACCTCAGTTAATAAGACCCTCATGGCAGATGCAGAGTTCACACCCGCCGCAGCCCCTCTTGGGATGTATCAGCCGGAGGAGCCTCTGCAGATTGTCTGATTGATCCTGGCAGCCACTTGTGCTCCGTGGGGAATGCAATGCAACTATTTATGGATCAGGCCTGGAGATGGGCAGCGGTTCAGGCTGCATTAAGGAGCCTGAAATCCACTAATCAGATTTCCTCTAATAAAGGAAGGGCACGTGCATGTGCACAGCTTGGTGGGGGGCATCTTTGGCTTAAGCAGAGAGGGCCTTGAGGGAGGGGGGTTTGGCCTGGCTTTTCCCTCCTTTGCTATATGATCTCGAGTCTAAGAATGACCTGCTCATCATCTATGAAAATGAAATTCCTGCTCTTAAAAGCCCCCTAGTTCTGGAGCCAACTGATTCTGCCTCCCATCCTGTCCCTGTGCAGTGTGGGTATCAGCCATGCTGACGCCTTTGCCCACGTGGCCACAAGGACACCTCATGGCACATAAGAAGTTTCAAGCTTGAAAATCCTCAGGAAGACCACCAGGACTTGGCATCTAAGGGAGAGACCCCCTCTAGTTTGGGCTCATGTCTCCAGGTCACCCACTTGCTTCCTGGGCAGCTGGAGGTCTAACAACTCAAAGGTCACCTGAGCTCAGCAACGCCTGGGCTCAGTTCCCCTCTCCCATCCCTGGCTCTGCCAGTGGCTCTCAGAAGTTATGAGCCAGGTTCTTGCCTCCCTTCCTCCTGGCGCTCACCTCATCACTAACAGCCCTGGGGACTCCTCTCGGCATCTTTTGGATTTGTCAGGGAGCCAATGAAACAACTTCTGAGCGCCTACTGTGTACCGGGGTCCAGGTTTTATCTGAGTGCCTACTGTGTACCAGGGGCCAGGTTTTATCTGAGTGCCTACTGTGTACCGGGGCCCGGGTTTTATCTGAGCGCCTACTGTGTACCGGGGCCCGGGTTTTATCTGAGCGCCTACTGTGTAC